AAAATTTAATAATTTGTATTAGATAAACGGAATCAGCTAGAAATTTGGAAAGCCATTTGGAATGAGAGGTACTGATGGTGTGTAGTATAGATGTACCAAAGGATTCTTGGAAATTCGAACTTAAAGGTTACAAAAAGTTCTGAAATGGTACCATTTGGTATTAGAGGTAAAAAAACTTGAATTTTAGTATGAGAATCAAGGTTAGAAAGCAAGTTTAATACATGAAGGTAGTTTGGAAATGTGTACTAAGTGTGCATAATGTACTAATTTGGATCAATTGAATTTAGGGTGAACGGATGAAGCTGAAATTTTTATTTTTAGATCCCTGTTGGTGGTGGGTTTGTGATAAATAGGAGGTTTCGGAAATTTTTACTATAAGTGCACGAAAAGTACTAAATGTTAATATATTTGGTGCAAATTTGTACCGATAGTGTTTGAAATCTGAAAATTGATATTAGAATCGCTTTTCGTGTGTTGCCTGGACCCATAGAGGTATTTTTGGAAATGTGTACTATAATTGTACGAAAAGTAATAAATGATACTCTTTGATATTGGGTGAAGGGATGGGGCTGAAGTCGTGAAATTTGTGGCTAGAATGCTTTAAATCAACTTTGTTTAAGGCCTTAAAAAGCCTTATCCACAAATTAAAGGACCCTTATATTCGAAATTCGTGCAAAATTTTTATACCCTCTCTCCCTTCCTCATTCTGTTTGTAACTCATCGAAATAATAATTTTAGACCTAACAAATAATATATATTTTTGATTTAGCCATAACCATCCGTCCGCTTGTGGTAATCACCCTGAAATGAAAACGAATTAAGATAAGCTAAAATTTTGCGCAGATCAGTCTTCTGTCTGCAGACAGATCAAGTTAGAAGATGGGCTATATCAGTCCACGATATCGTATAGCCCTTATATAACGGAACAACCCAGTTCGTAATGTATACTACAGCCTCTGGGAAAAATTTGTGTATGTAGGTCCATGTGTTTCTATAGCCCCATATATAGACACTTCCGAATATCGATTTTGATGATTTTAGCCACATTTTTCAACGGAATCATCTGAACTTCTACGCAAGGAGTTCTTTATGAGTGATAGGTCCATGTTTTAATATGGCATCCATGTAACGGTACAATGGAATTGTCTGAAAATCCACACAAGGAGTTCGTTACCCCTTGAAAGAGAAATGTCTATATAGGTCTTTGATATCGTATATCCCCCAATACAACGGTACCTTTGAATATACGGTATTTTGATGATTTTAGCTACATTATATACCGGAATTGTTTAAAATTCCGTTTCGGAACTTTTTAATGGATACTACAACCTATGACAAAAAACTACTTAGCCAGGTCTACGCATAGGGGCTATACGACCCCTATGTTATGGTACCTCCCAATATTCCGTATTTTTATGATAATGGAAGACATTATAGACCGGGATTGTTTCAAATTTCGTATTTAAAGTTTATAATGTATACAGCCTATGACAAAAATGTGTGTATGCAGGTCCACATGTTCGTACAGCCCCATATAAGTTTACTTCCCGATATTCTGTATTTTAATGATTTTATCTACATTTTTACCGGAATTTTTTCAAATTTCGTATTTAAAGTTCGTAATGAGCACAACAGACTATGAAAAAAATTTGCGTATGTAGGTCCACGCCTTCATATAGCCACCATATAAAGGTACTTCTCGATATTCGGTATTTTGATGATTTTAAGGTCATTATTTGCGTATTTGAAGCTCGCAATGGGTACTAAAACCTCTGAAAAATTTTCCATATAGGTCCTCGACTTCATATAGGCCACATATAACGATACCACCCCATATTCGGTATTTTGATGACATTAGCGACATTATTCAGCGGAATTCTCTCAAATTTCGTACAGCCGATGACAGAAAAAATTGCATATGCAGAACCATTTTCAAAGTTCCTTCAAAATTATGGAGGATATTAAAAATTCGGTTTAAACATGTTAAATGTCAGTCTAAAATCGCCATTTTGGGGTAAGGGAAGCGCCAAGTGGATTTGATAGTGTTCGGTTTAAGAATCACAAACCCAATTTTTTCGGGTTTTCAGGCCCAACTTAAATTAGGGCCTTTATATATACTTAACTACACACAAAGGGATGACAAAATGATAGGTCATATTTCGTAACATTTAAAATAGTGCTTTAAAATTCTATAGAGAGCTCTTAATTACCTCAAGAATTGTTGCTTTTAATAAAAATGAGTCATGTGGGACCATTTTTTGTGTATCCCCTTTTATAAGAGTAATGCCCGCTTTCAAGGGTATTATAAGTATGATTGGGTAAAAAATTATATAACACCTCCAAATATTGGTTTCCCACATAGGAATGTATATATGGATCGTCCTATCTCGCAGAGCTAAGTCGATTTAGCTATGTATGTCCTTCCGTCCGTCTGTCCATGTTAATTTGTAATCACTCTACAGGTCTTCACGAAATTTAGAATGGAGGTGGGCCCAGAATAGAAGACTATTGCTGTTGGAGATGATCGCATGATATTTAGTTAGGGTTGAAATGGACCTGAAATGAAAAATTTCCTGACTTTGCAGTTGCTCTACAGATTACAATTATAGACCGATCGACACGGAAGTTAGATGGTGCTAGACTTTAGGGCTGGGCAGAAGCCTTCCAATTCGCATGGTCATCGGTAGTATTTAGTGGGTGAAATAGACCATAACATTTGTGTTAAAAAAAGTCAAATTTTCTATTAAACCGCGAATATTTTTTAATTCTAGCGAAATCACAAATAGACGAACAGGTCAATACTGACCGTTATGTAGATATATCGGATATATATAGCGAAATATATACCCGATGTTAACTAAAATGCCTATATCTCAAAAATGGCTGAACCAATTTTGACAAGTTTGTCAATTCAGAATATCCTCTTGGCATAAAAGAATAAAATCTAAAAAAAACGCATAAAAAGATGTCAATAATGATGTTAATATATATTTTGTGACATTTTTTATTTTTTCATATTTATTATCGCATGCTATTTTTTAAATTTGACATAATATTGAAGTATACATTGTAATATTTTTTCACCTTACAACACAGGCTGGGGTTCTTATATACAGATTGCAATTATCGTCCGATTCTCACGAAAATTTTCACAAGGGTAGGGTTAGGCTCAAAAGGGCTGGGCCTAGTGTTTTCAAAGATGCCCGGAATAGATTTAGGGGTTGAAATGGACCAACAACTAAAAATACTCCTGATTGTGAGTAAAAACAGAAACCAAAGGACACGAAATCTCATATGAAGATAGAGTTTAGGACAGCGGGTAGAATGGACCACTACTTATTTTCTACCGAAATGCTAAAAATAACTTACAGGTTTTTTATGCTGATTTCGTTAACGAATATAGCCAAATATCGTAGACAAGCAAATCATATATATGAGTTTAAATTCAGAAATACAGAGGGGTCTCTTGCTTTTGGAGATGATCGCAATATTCTAGTATTTTGGATGACCATTGGATTATATTTAGCTGTAAAATTGGCCTCAAAAACTAATAGCACGACGGAGTGCGTAAATATTGGCCAAATGTCCCTGGTCAAAATGCTAAGGGTAATATCTGGGTAGTGCTCCGTGACATAATTTCAAAAGCGAAATCTTTCAAAGTGGATTTGGACATAGGGGGGCTTCTAACATATTGTAGTGTTGTAGTGTATCACATTCTCGGCCCTGCACGACTATAGCCTTTGTTTACTTGTTTTTACTTTTTTTTGTCATATTTTCCTTATTATTTCGCCAATTTTTGTTTTTTTATGTCTTAATATTAATAATTATTTTCTTTAAAAATTATAGCCCATTTGTCGTTAATATGTGGTCATTCTCTCTCAGGGTGTATAAAAGCTCTTCGCAATAGATTCGGGTCCATGCCTCAGAGTAGCACACGAGCGTTGTGGCCATATTTTTCATTTCAAGAAATTGAATAAAGAGATTGATCTAAGCTTTCATATTTTCTCCCTTATACCAATACTCTCTGTGTCAGATGATATGACAAACCTAAGTTTCACTAGGTTTTTATATTTTTCTATCGTTCCCGTTCTCTATCACCATAAAATCAGTTCAAAGTTTGCCCTACCAACATAAACCTTCATTGCGTATAATGAATGCTTCCATCTGGAGCAAAATATGTATACGCACCCCATACCGATATCATTGAATTTTCTTAAAGCCATTGTAAGTTTATAAATTTTCATTTTAAACGCCATTAACATTGAAAGTTTGTTTTT